TTTAATCTTGTATATTTTAAATATGAATATTTAATAAACAAATAAAGCATATTATATTTATTTTTTATCATTTTAATAACATGTTAAATTAAAATAAACATCGTTTACTGCAGTTGAAGATTTAAAATCAAAATGGAAGAACATAAGAGATAACTATACAAGGTCCGTAAATGAGACGAGAAAAACAAAGAGTGGATCTGAAGCTAAATCGACAAAAACATATGCATACGGAGATGTACTATCTTTTCTGATACCTGTGGTAAAAAAACGAAAGTGAGTAAAATTTGAATTATACATACTTAACATTTTCACTGGTTGTTTATATTAGCATTTTCTATACACGATAAAATTTTCAAAATATTTTGATCTGTTTTGAACTATATTTACGGACATTTTCAGTTTTCAATTTTTTTAGTTTATTTCTATGAATATCAATAAAATATATTTATTGGGTAAAAAGCTTGAAAATTTGAAAATATTAAAAATAATCACATTTTTTTTTTTTATAAGCATTTAAAAATGCATTTTGCAACCTTTTTATAAAATTCAAAATTAAAAAATTATTTTATATTTAAAACTAAAAAAATGTATAAAATATTCAACTTTTATAGCGATTAAACTTTTTTCACTTTCCAACCTTTTTAATTTTATAAAAGAAAAATATGCAATATTTTTAGTATGTTTTTTAGTATTCTAATTTTTTTTTTTAAATTAAATTCAGGACAACCGGCAATATGGATAATCCCGAAAATATTAGCGTCCTTGACGAATCAAATAATGATATTTTTGATGGAGAAAATGTTGTATCACAAGGGACTGTTCCGGCGTCCGATGTATCTACCAGAAAAAAAAAGAATTATCAAAATAATGTAGACTTTCAAAATACCCTGGTTGAATTTATGAAAAATTCCCCCCTAAAACCCCCCGAAGAATTCGATGCCGATAAAGCTTTTTTATTATCTTTTTTACCAGATCTAAAAAAAAATGAACGATCACCAAAAGTTGGATTTAAAAATTGAATTTATGAATGCAGTCAAACGAATTATTACAGCTCCAAGTTATACCAACTATTCTAACCAACAACATTTGACTAATCATCAAATTCATCAACCTACAAATGCATTTCTTCCACATTTCCAAACCAGCTTCCCACCTTATTCATACCCATCTACTTTTCCAGCTGAACTTAATAATCCTGTAACTTCAAATACTGAAGGGGATCGTATTTAATTTGAAGTTATTATTACTATTTTTTATTTTTTATTTTTTAAAGGGTTTGTTTGAAATAAGTACTATCATATTTTTTTTAATATTTGTTATGTATACAATAAGTTGTTATTTAATTGAACTATTATACTAAGAAAATGTATTGATTCGGTTTAAATTAAAGATTTATCATGGTTTGATAAAAAAAAAAATATATATTTTTTATCATTAATTGCTAATAACAAATTTTACCTGATTGTCAAAGTAAGTCTTTCCTCAGCACATATCGGACTTCGAAATTTCGTTTCCTGTTTGGTGATGTAAGGTCGAATTTTCATCATAAGTTCATCAAATGAAGCAATCGACATACGGTAATATGTAAAAAATTTATCAGAATTTAATCTAATTTTTTCATAGAAATTCAAAAATCTTCTAGTTTCTTCTCGTGTTGTATTAAATGGATGGATCCAGTACCGTCTATCTCTTTTCGGAGGGTTTAAGTAGCCAAAATAGTTGGCAACTTGTACAACTTTCATAACTTGCATATAATGATCATAATCCATGTTTAGTGTAGTTTTTAAAGAATAAATATTTATAATTTTATAATTTATAATGTATAATTAACACAACTGATGTGTATGGTATCTAATTCCCAAATGATAAATGAACACAAACTTCCGCGGTTTTGCCGCGCTGGTGTAGTTTGTGTACACCGCGCGGCAAAATCTAACGTGGTTTCGACCGCGCGGCGGAACCGCTATAGTGTGACCAGGCCCTTAGAGCCGCCTTAAGAAAAAAACAATTTGAAGCTGGAATATCCGAAAGCAATATTAAGAAACTAATACTAGATGTCCCAACACGTTGGAATTCAGTGTATTATATGATTGACCGAACAATGCTAAGATATGAAAAGTGTGCTTCCAATGTTATGCAAACAAGATCGATATCACTTCACTATGATGGCAACGCCTGTCCCATGTGAGAGACTATTCTCAAAAGCCGGGGCAACAATAAACAAAGCCAGGAATCGCTTATCAAGCTCTCGACTTCAGAAATTGTTACTCCTAGCTGACCTAACCGAAGAAGAATGGTTTTAAAGATGATTATAATGATTTTTTTTTATTAATGACTGATAAATGATAATTACATAATTTATTTATACCTTTTGTGATATTATTATTTATACTTGTTGTATACCTTTAAAATTGGATGACCTATATTTTTTATTAACGACTGATAAATGAAAATGATATAATTGTTGATGATATAGTATTTTGTACAACTCAATAATTTTATAATTTATAAGTGCATTCTAATGACAACTGCTGAATTGATCATATATATGATATTGTAAATAATTTTGTAGAGCATTGAATTATTCACCTACGTTATAGTGTGTCTTAACATAATATAATAATCGGCGCATTTCGAATTGCGTCCACAGGTTTTTCAGCGACTAAGTATAATTAAATATAATCGATATAAAAATGTACATTGATGACACAAATTTAATTTATAATAATAACAATATAAAAATGGTTATAATAAATTATCAGTTCAATTCAATTGCAATATTAATAATAATAATAATAATAATATAAAAATTCATGTTATACATTTTGTCATGATAAAAATAGTATAATATAATAAAAAATAATAAAAAATGCATGTTAAACATTTTGTCATAATAAATCATTATCGAATCATACTGAATTTAAAATGTATGAACTATCGGTTTTAGTGACACGATACTATCGATTTTAATGATTTCTGAAGATAATATTGATAGTAATAATATGGCTGATTTGCGTCCCACAAAACGGGACGCAACTTACCGGTCAAATTTACTACCTGAAAAATATATTTTTTTTTGGGACACAAGTAACATGCAGCCATAAATACAGTACCTATATAGTTGTAGTCATAAGCCCGACTTGTATACAATTTATATAATACTCGAAAATCATTAATCAAATGATAATATTGTGGGGACTGGGGATAGCCACAAATCACTATAGTAATAATTATTGGTAAATGCGAAAAAGAAATAAACGTGTGCTCGATGTCTGACGGAAATGTATTATAATTTTATTGCATACCAGAAAATGACGTATGACACATACAAACGGGTGACGGTCAACCAAATTCAGACTGCCTAGTGCCTAGCGTACTATAATAGGTAGTATATTATTAAAATTATTAATAAATATTGTAATCGACGTTATAACGTCGTCGTCATTGTGTGACCAAAAATAACCAAAATCAACCTAAGTTTTACAATATTATTACAGTCATTCCTTGTAATATTTCCATTCCATAGTGACAGTGTTAAGTGTTTCTGTTAATACTTGTAAAAATATGAACTGTTTATCTGTTTGTCTGTTAATTTATTTATTGTTTTGTGTAATTTCATTCCGTTCACTTGAGTGTTGAGTATTGATTATTGAGCGTGCATAGAATAAATATAATCATCTGATTTGTCCAGATTATACAGTCCAGCCTGGACAGTCCTGCAGCCTTTTTTCTTTAAATTCATTAAACCGTCAAATCGGTAAGTACCTGCCTACGATTATAAATTATACCTAATATTAATTAAAGTATTATATAATTAGTACATTACCAATAGTTTGTTAAATATGTCAATTTTTAATTTTATTTAATTTTAGTTAGGTATCAATTGTTAATTTTTTATTTAATAATAAATAGCTGGTAAATAGGTACTGTGTTTTTTGTGTTTTTTTTTTTATAGATAGAATATAAATAACGTCGCATTCAAGATGGTTGAAAAGTGTGATTGCGGAAAATTAAAAACAAAATATATCAATGAAACTAACTGGATGCGACATTTAGATACCTGTCAAACATCAAAAATTAAATCAAAGAATACTGATATTACTTCTTTTTTTCAATTGGTTGTAAAAAAAAATTATGAAAGGTAATTATGTACCTTGTAACTTTTGTAGGTACAAACTTGTAAGTACAAAGGTTATACATGCAATTTATGTCATTTAGTGGGACATTTAGCTCCTATGTGTAAAACTAAAAATAAATTTAATCAAAAAAATAAAACTTACAATACTCATTATATAAAAAATAAAAGTAATAGTTCTGATGATGATGACATTTTTTGGGTGTATCAGGCAATTTCAAATTAATTTCTGAACCAAGTAATGAAACAATAAAACCTTTAGAACTAAATGTACAACTTAATGACATAAGCATTAAATTTCAAATTTATACTGATAGTTTGCATTCTCTTGTAAGTGAAAGTTGTTATTTAGAAAACTTTAGTCACATTAAATTAAATGAAAATGATGTTATTTTAAAATATTATATTGGTAAGCATTTTAAACCTTTAGGCAAACTCATAAATACATTATTTTATTCATTATGGCCATTCTTTTCATGATTGCTCCAACACGCTGACTGAAGACTTGGGCTGCAATTGACACCTTCATTTTTTTTCCTGGATAAACATGAGAGTCAGAGAGCTTAGGTACAAGACGGTCTCCCTCTGTACTTTGATTTTTATCAAATTCATAGAATTGAATTATATGTTTCTACGATGCTTTTTTCTGTTCATTTTCATATGTGAAATTTAAGTATTTAGTTATAAGATTATTTCTAAGACCTTTCAGCAAATGTGGGACATCAAAAAGTGGAATTATTTCTTGACCCCCAATTACAAAACCAAATACATCATTTTTCCCCCTTCTTTAAGATTAGTATTATCTTTAGTTTCTTTTATTAACCGATTGATAGCAGCAACATTGGATGGGGCTTGATCACAAACCGTAGAAATTACAGTAATGCCTGTTAATTGCACTGCTTTAATAACATCTTTCAGAATAGTTGATAGATTAAGACTGTTCATGTTACTATTGGTCAGATAGAAAGCAACCGGTTGTTTGAACTTTTATCTGAGTCCTCTCACCATAAAAACAAGTGCTTTATCCGAAAACTTTGGTGAACAATTATCGTTACCTAGGTCTTCAAATCCAATTACTTTTCCATTTTTTTCTGTAAACTGCGATGATGAAGAAATTGATACTTCATCAAAAATTATTGAACAATAACGATCTAGCTTATTTTTCAATTTCTTAACTGCAGTTTTTAAATGATCGAATATTCTTTTATTAATTCCTGTATCGAACGGTATTTTATTCAATAAATCCATGATTGATTTCCGGGAAGGAAGAGCAAAGACTTTTGAAAGTGTTTTATACGCTTTTCCACTTTGCTTGAACAGAGACAGTGCAAACACTTTATCATCTACAGTAAAACGTCTTCCACGCGGCATCTATTCTGCGGTTGCATTCGAATTTGAGATTCAATAAATTGTCTAGTGAACTGGTTTAGTGCACATGACTTCTTATTAGTATTTATAAATTTATCAGCTATTTTTAGTCGAGTTCTAGTTTCTGTGTATCGTTTGTGAACAACTAAATTTTTTTGTCTATAGATTTTGACAGCATCATATAGAAGACTTTTCCTTGGAGTCAATTGTGATTTTCTAAACATATTCATCTTTGCCAACACACCTTTAACTTTGTTTTTTTCTGCTTTGATTAGGTTGACACAATGAAATACCTTCACTGAAAACTAAAATCAAAATTTGATTAATAATAAAACAACATTCAACACATTTATAGTTACCTTCATTTCTTAGTTCATCAGACACACTTGGGTTTGAATGCATTATACTTTCACTTATTCCTACTAGACTAATATCCATGGCACAAGAATCTTCAGGATCTCCAGATGCAGGCATAGTTACACCTAAAATAATAATAATAATTGTGTTAATAAATTTTACTAAAAATACTAAGTAAAAAAAAAAAATCATTACTTTTAGCAATACTGATGTTCATTGCCATAGAATCTTCAAGATTGTCTTCTATATGAATGGATGAAGAATTGAATGTATCCATTATGTTCTCATCAATTATACCTAAATCCAAATTAACATTAAATTAATTATGTCCTGCAATATATATAAAAAAATAGCATGCATTTTTACAACATCAACAACAAACTTCAATAGTTAAATTATAGCATGCGCAACATTTTTATTTTAAATAATTAACTCATGCTCATGCACTAGTCACTAAAGGTAATACACAAACAGTACTCATCATAAATGCCAACAAACTAGTAGCATGCAATATTCCAAAACGTTTTAAAATAAAGGTAAAGCAAAATGTAAACAAATCATATAGTGTTAATAATATTTATACAAAATCGTACCATAATACAGTTGACTGTGTTTATACATGACAAAAAATGTAAACATTTTTTTATGGTTGGATAATTGTTCTTAGATTTGATAAATTGTCAAACCATCGAAAAATAATTTAACTTTCTGATACAACCAATACGGCAATACTTGATTTCAACAATTTGGTTAAAACTGATGTTGCCGCGCAACAATATTGATATAGAGAATAGCTGGTCACACACACATCATCACGTTTTTAATTATTTATTTTTGTTTCATTGTTTTTGTGTATTAATTATGTGATTGTGAATTATTATATAATATGTAGATTAAACGTTATCGCACGCCGCCGCGCCGTCCACGCGAATATTATTTAACACGGCCAAGGTGTCAATTTTCCATTTGGTCGTGCCAGTGACCAGGCTCGAGTATAATATACACCTAGGCATATATATGAAATTTGTAATCTTTTATTATTGTGAGCCATAAGGGCATTATTATTATATTGGTCCAGTTATCAATACTCATTGTATTTTTGCCGTGCGCGAATCGCCGGTTAAATTATTATTTATTATATCGTAGGCGCTAATCGCCTGAGTTTTTTTATATATCATTTGGTAAATTATTATATTATTGTTTGTGTGTGTTATTATTATTCGTATTATAGCATAGGTACAGGACCAGCTGGCCAGTCTGCGCTCCACAAACTGTGAGTTTTTTTTTATTATTTTATTAGTTATTTATTATACATTTGAATCTGTTGAGTCATAAGGACCGCAGATATTTTCTTATTATTATAGTATCGTGTGTCAGAAGGGCCACGTATGCTTTTTGTATTTCACACTTATCTTATATAAGCTAACAGCTCAATAGCTACTATTTATTGTAATTTATTCCAGTTGGCCATAAAGGCTGCGTATTAATATTATAATCAATTATAATATTTCATATTTTCCTTTGTTGGGCCAGAAGGGCTAATTTATATTTTAATATTATACTGTTATAGCCATAAGGGCTTTGATTTATTTATTATATTATATTTTATACATTTGTGTTGCTGTGATTTTTTATATTTGTGTCATTATTATTGTGTATTATACAGCAACAGCAACTCATTACCAAAAACCGTGTGTCGTATACTGTAGACAGTTGTCGAAATAATTATTTTACATAGGTGGGAATATTTTTAGCAAGTAAGATTTTGGGATAGGTCAGGCCTGTGAAGCAAAATGTGCTGAGGTGACAAAAATCAAATAGATATAAGACGGCCGCACGGGCAGGGAAGGGGCAGTCCCCGTCGCCGCCGGTGTGTTGTCGCTGTCGAGAGCGTGCGATCGACGTTGACACGGACGGTTACTGTACGGACTATTCATTTATGTTTTTAATTGTTTTTTTTAAAAGAATAAAGGTGTTTCCGACCCAAGAAATCATTTGTTTTGTTTGAGTAGCCACGCAATTTGCCGTACTCCTTAAAATCTAATCTGTAACCGGTTAATTCATGGTCGTTGAGGATTTAAGGTTTAAACGGTAAAGGTAATCTTACATTATTGTATTCTTTCAATCTGATCTGTAACCGGTTAATTTATGGTCGTTGAGGATTGAAAGTCTAAGCATTAAAGTAACGATATCGACTTTTNACGGTAAAGGTAATCTTACATTATTGTATTCTTTCAATCTGATCTGTAACCGGTTAATTTATGGTCGTTGAGGATTGAAAGTCTAAGCATTAAAGTAACGATATCGACTTTTGAGTGCCAAACTGTAACCGGTTAATTTATGGTCTTTTGGTTCCTCAAACGTCGGTAGAGGTATACCACTGAAAAGTGGGTATACGACAGTGGCGCCCAACGGGGTTCTTATCTGCGGTCTTATACATTTTTTTTTTGTTTTGTTTTGTGTTTGTGCCCTGGTACCTCAACCTTGGCACTTGGCACGTTTGATTTTTGAAGTGTTTATGTACAAGAAGTACAACAGTTTTTTTTTCGTGTGGTCTGGGTAAAGTTCCCTTGGCACACTATACCTTTTAAGTCGAAGTACGACAATTTGTGTGTGTTTCGGGTGGAGTAACCTGAGGCGCAGAAAATTTTTTGAGTTTTTCGGAAGTTAAGATAAATTAATTTGTTCAAGTGTTTTGGGTGGAGTAACCCAGGACGCGATTTTGTGTATGAGTATACCGAGTGAAGAATACGTACGCGTTCGATTTTTTTTTTGGTCTTTCGGAAAAGACAACGCTTGTACCGTGTGAGTACAGTTTTGCCTTACCGTGCATTTGCACACGAACGCGCTAAGGTGAGAAACTATTTATTATATACATTATACAATTATAATTTAGAAATAATATACGCATTAGGATGTAGGATACGCATTTGGATTAATTTTTTAGCAAATTTATCAGTTTTCTTCAAAAATAAATTTTTCTTTTCCTTTTTCTAATTATACTAAGTTAGTTAATTTTAATTTTGCTAAATATCTAATTGTATAAAATTATGTATTATTAAGCTATAATTATATAAAATTTTAATTATTTTATTTCAATAAAAACTATGTTCTTTAAAACCAATCCTTTTTACTAGCTTGTTAGGATATGAGTGACGAAAATCCTATAAATTTAAATTTAAAAATATCCAAACTAACTGAAATTTATTTACTCAAAAAACCGGATCTTATTAATTTATGCACAACCAAACAATTAAAGTGCACGGGAACTGTTGAAAATCTGAGGTCTAGATTATCAAAATACTATAAAGGGGTTGTAGAATTAGACGATATTGAGGATAATCTAACTGAAAGAGAAAAAAAAGCTATTAAGATTGAATCATTTAATAATAAATTTGAAATTAAAGATTTACTAATAGGACTTGATACAGGTGATTTAATTACAGAATCGAATAACGAGGATACAGGAACTTCTGAAACAATAGTAAAAAAAATATTACAAACTAACAACGATTTAAAAATTAATGCAAATAAATCATCAGCCCAAACTGATACAATTTTAAATACCAGTAACCAATTATATCTAAATATAATAGACCAAAACATTAATCACGATTATAATAATATAAACTCTGGCGTAAAAACCAATAATAAGGAAAATATTTACGAAGACATTGAGTTAATAAAAACAGACTATATACAATCCAACTTAAATAATACCTTTTTGAATAAACCTATATCTGAAATAAAGACAACAGATCAACCACCTATAATTAATAAAATGGACAGAAACAAACATATGATTATAAAACCAGATAACTTTTCAGGTCAAGGAGACATAAAACTTTTTTTTAAACAATACGAAAAGGCAGGATTGATAAATAACTGGGACAATAATGATAAAGTAAAATTTTTATCTATATTTTTAA